AGAAAAACAAAATTGTATTTTTTCATCTGACGTCTTCGTAAACAATAACCATTGAAAGTAGAAAAAAATTCTTTGTGTACTCTACTGCCAATTGATCACCCATTTCTTAACACATTACTGTCAAAACAGCATTTTGTTTATTTTAATAATTACTTTTCAAAACTCATGAAAACTTTGCGACTATACAATAAACTCGATTGAGAATGTCGTATATTCGTAAAGATAAATGAATCAAGTTTATTATGACTCAAGCTAAAGCCGTTGGCTTAAGTATAATTTACAAATAGCAAAGCAGAATGAAAGAATGTAGTGTCTAATCGACTTCTACGGGTTAGAGCTGATATCTTATCTTTAGAAACTAGGCAAATTAGAATTGTATTGAATGTTGCTTAGTTCAGACATTCTCGGGTGCAGAATGAGTCTAATGATGGCTTAGGTGTAGTCGCTTGCTTGCTATTGCCATATGAACCAACTAAACAACTATTGCTTGAGGTACAAATTTGAAAGTGCTTGGGCCCAATAAGTTTACATTAGCTGTCTTCGAATCATCAAGCGTGGGAGAGTAGCGAATCGAAGAAAATATATCATATACTAGCTGTCGTCGATTTGCCAAAAGTTGGATAGTAGCCAATCGTGCGCTAACTTGTCTTCTGATCCGTGCAAAAAAGTGCTACAATTCTATTTTAGTGAAAAAATCATATTTTTCGCGTCAAAAAACGTTTGAGTAATTTCTTTGTTTTGTTTTCTATAAACTATTATAATTTATATTAAGTCTTGAGTTTGTAAATTCAAAGAAAAATAAAATTTGTATTTTAATTGTCATTTGAATCGTTTACAAAAGTAAAACTGATTAAAAATTTGCAAAAAAAAATACTTGGTAACATTGAAGCACACGTTGTTGGGTTATCTGCATATTCTCTTGTACGAATTCAACTCGATCATATTGTTGTTGCTTTTACATGTAATTTTTTTGACATGAGAGCAGCGCGCAAAGATAGCGTGCAGAGAAATGGCGAATCGAACAAAACTATTGCTAAATTATCGATATTGTTATCCACTGTTGCAAAAGATATAAACCGATGAACTTTATGAACTGCTTACCGAGACTTCAAAAATTTAAAGTGCTTAGGTTATTTAATGGAAATAGTAATACCAAACAGCTTTATTACTCTGGTTATATGGAAATCTAGCTAGAGCTCTAAACAGTATTCTTACGAGAGGTTAGATATATTTTCTATCTAAATGTGCAACTCTGTACTCAAGCGGTACAAATATTTGCAAATATCATAACTATCATAGAGAGGGATGCAAGTATCAAATCAGATCCATTTTGTTTGGCAAAAGTTCCTATTGACCTATTTTTTAACATGTACTCGTATTTGAGTCTAACCTTACTTTCTTTAGTTTACTGTTCACAATGTTCATAACTGTAAAAAAATAAGGTCGAAAATGAGGTAAAAACAAGAAAAAACGTTAACTTCGGTTGCACCGAAGCTATAATACCCTTCACAAATACAAAAGATTTCTTACAAGAAGTTCATGTTGGTCTGTCAGTTTGTATGGCAAATTTGTGCTAAAGTGGCTCGATATGAAATATTTCTCCGGAGATTGCATGCACAATTTTCCATACAAGCACTTGATTTCGAACTTTCAGTTTGTATCGCAGCTATACGCAATAGTGATCCGATCAGAGCAATTTTTTCGAAAATTGCACTATTGCTTTAGGCAATAGTCTGTGTCTAATTTCGTGAAAATATCTCGTTAAATAAAAAAGCTTTCCATACAAGCACTTTAGTCCGATCGTGCAGTTTATATGACAGCTATATGTTATAGTGGTCCGATATCGCCCATTCCGACAAATAAGCAGACTGTTAGGAAGAGAAGGGAGGGTGCAAAATTTCAGATCGATATCTCAAAAACTAAGACGGGTGGACATGGCTAAATCGACTCAGCCCGTTGCTTGATCATTAATATATATACTATATACTTTTTTCTAACGTTTCCTTTTAGAGGTTACAAACTTCGTGTCAAATTTAATATACCCCGTTCAGGATATGAAAATTACAAACAAAATATGCTGGCACTTCAATTACAAAACAAGAATGGAAAGAACATTTTTGTGATTGTGAGTTTCGTGTCGTTAAATTCATTATTATTATGAAGAAGAAGATTGTTATTAAGATAAATTTTTAATATTCTTATTAGCATACCTGCTTTCTACTCTCGTTCTTTCAACAATTATATATATACCTTACTCTTTATATATTTATATATCTACTTATACGGGTATTTTCTTTATGCTTCCACTCTATAACATAAATTTGGAATAGTTGTTGTTATTTTTATTTTTTTTTTGCTGCCTTGCAAAAATTATTCTCAATTTGGTTATATTTCATATATACAGACAAACATATGTATGTAAGTATATCTATTATATACAAATTATCTAAGTTTAATGTAGGTGGAAAAGCTTAGCCGCCGGCAGCGACAACAACAACAATGCATTAACCAGGCAACACAAGCAGTCAAACGGCTAACTAATCGTAAAGTTTGTTGTTGAATTTATTTACTTTAATTTTTTTTACACTCTTTGCCGCTCTTGTTGCTTTATTTTCCACTGCTCTCCCTTAACGGCCGCTGCTACTTTCATGCACACATACACGCTCGCACGCGCATATTATATGCCGTTTGAGTATTTGTTTATTTGTTTGTAGAACTTTTGCCAGCAAAACTCAGCACAACCGCGCTCGTTTGAATATTTTGAGCTTAAGCTGCAGCCACAAAACTTTTCGTCGTCTCAACTGTTGTTTAGTTGAATTTCAGCTTCATCGCGTTGAACTTGAAATTCTTTTTCGCATTTCGTTTCGGTTAATTTTATGAAATTCTTTTGGTTTGTGGATTAACTGTTAATCGTGCATGTACATATGTAGCTGATATTGTTTTAAAATTTTTTGGTGCGCTTAATCTTCATACATACATATACACATACTTATGTGGCTATCAGACTGCGTTTTTGTGTTTTTTGTGTTGTGCAGTGTTTTTCTGTGGCAATCAGACTCAGAAATATGTGCTCACTAATTATGCTTACATAGGTAGTTGCATACGTAAGCAACAGGTGTGTGCATATTTGCTTCGAAATTATTTATTTATTTATTTTTTTCTTTTCTACAAAAGTTTGTATAAAATTTTAATGAATGGTTGCGAAAATTGTTTTTTTTTTATTTGTGTTGGGCAAGTAAAAAAAAAACCTAGAAAATATTATATATAGCGATTTTTAAAAATTATAAATTTAAGAATTTCTTTATTCTGAAAAGCGTGAAAACTAGTGCTACTTAAGAGCTTAATATGGAATATATTGGTATTCTCTGGCATTTCAAAAATCTTACAATCAGTGCGAGTGATAAAATTTTACCTTAATCTTTGGTATATTTGGATATTTATTTTTTGCGACTACCATAAAATTTTAGATAGCAGATTTCTGGGGGTGGGTCAAAAAAATAAACCAATGTTTTTTTCGCTTTGTACTCTGAAAACTTTGTTAGTAGGCACCTCCAAGGAAGGCTCTCCAAGTATGGGCTCTTAATTGTAACGATTTTTTTATATGCTTTTTGTTGCTCTTTGATAAGCGTTGATGTTTGATGATGAATATCTCGTAAACGCTTAACTTAATCGAAAAATTATCTAGACCATTTTTGTAGAGCAGAACATTTCCTACAAGACTATGAGCCTTGCAATTTAATTGTCTTTTTTTATTGAGTTATAAAATTCAAAAAAAAGAAACAAATTTGAATTAAGTTTAAAATAGTTACAATTTAAAACTGTGTTTTTTTATTGAGTTATAAAATTCAAAAAGAAGAAACAAATTTGAATTAAGTTTAAAATAGTCAAACTTCAACTCCTAATATCTTTTAAACGGTTTTGTTCACGCAAAAACCGTAAGAGACCATTTTATAGGGCATTCAATTTTCTACAAAATCTTTGAAACGAAATATTTTTCGGTGGAAATTTTTACCGTTTCTTTTTTTGGCCCACCCTAGTATACATAGTTTGAAAAAATGTTCAAATCGTTTTTCTACAAATAGTATGTTTGGGTAGTTACCGTTTCTCAAATAAGGGCTCCAAATATAAGATTTAGTAGAAACAAATTTTAATTTTTCCGAAAGATGTCTTTAGTAATCTGTATCTCGGGTGACTGACGACTAAAGATGTAAATAGTTTATGGTCCTGGTATTGTAATAGCCAATCACACCCAATTGTGGTTTCGTCAATTCAGTTTCGGTAATTTTTATAGCAAAGATTCATCGCGCTCTGGAAAGCCGATTGTTGAAAATTTCGATAAAAAATGGAGATTGTCGAGTGCGACTATCGTGTAGACACAATTTCGATTGCCCAAGAGCTAAATATTGCACCAAAAACCATTTGAAACCATTTAAATAAGGCTGGATAGAAAAACAGTTCGATGTACATATTCGAGCCGGCACAAACGGAGACCGAGTCAGAATTGAGGGTCAGAAGGATTTTGCTATGTTTTTGTTAGGATTTGCAGGGAAACATCTATGTGCTGCTCCCCTGGGGTATGTCTGAAGTAAACAATCGCTCAGAAGTGGCCTGCTTTGGATAATAGGAGAGGAATTGTTCTCCACCAAAAGCTTCGAGAGTTTGGTTGGGTTGTTCTTATGCATCCACTTTATAGTCCGGAACCGGCAATGTATGGCGAATGTATTTCTGGTGAAAATGTGGGAAAATCGACTGTCGCAGTGTTTTGCCAATAGTGACGAGGGTTTCTATGAGAGTGGTATTGTGAAATTACTTTCAAACAACAACTTATCCAACCAAAAGGTGGATTTTGGTAATTTCTTTTTAATAGTCGAAGGCATATATTAGATGATAGAGCTAAATTAAGTTGATAATATTTTTAATTAAATATAAATTCAATATATTTTAGTAATTAATTTAATAAAACAAAAATTTCTAACTTTTATTTCCTCTCTTTTTTACAGACAATTTTCGGAGTGGTGCAGTGTTTTTATTGCAAGTGATAAGTTCGTGAATGGTGTGTAAATCAAATGAATGTGTAGCGTAATAAAAAATCATACAAGTGCGCAAACATATGCTTCTAGATATACCACAAAACTATCAGAACAGCCAGCATATTAGTTGAGGGCGCGAATAGCTCTTACCGCCATAACCCCTTCGCCACAGTAACAGCGCAACGGCATCCCACGCCCAAAATAACCGTTGCAGCCCCACCAGCTGCAATCAACACACTAATCGGCGTGTTACAGCACCCATCGTGCAACAAACACAACACGCGTCACCAGCAAGTGGACGCGGTATACGCCACAACAATTCCCAGTCGCAAGTCTGTCGCGCTGTCGTACGTTCGGCTAGAACACCCGAAAAGCGTCACTCTGCAAATCAGTTGCTCAAACGTGATCGCTATTACTATCAAGTAAATCCGCAGACGCGCTGGTATACCATATATGAACGTGTGCCATACTTTCGTTGGGAGCCACGCTTGAGCGGCGTCTACAACAGTCCCTATCCCCACTACGTACATTTGCCGCAACAGCAGGGCCAACAAGGCCAGGGCGAAAAGGAGCATCATCTATTGCCATTGCCGCCACTTAAGCCGAATGAGGCACAATTGCCGCATTTGACATCACTGCTCGAGAAGGAGAATCACCAACAACAGTTGCAAGCACAACAATTGCAGCAGCAGGAAAAGTATTCACAACAGGCTTTTCAGCAACATCAGCATTTGCAAGAACAACTGAATCTGTCACATCAGCAGCAGCAGTTGCAGCAAAAGCATCAGCATCAGCAGCAACAACAGCAACAAACAATAATACGGCATCAGCAAGTGCAGCAACAACAACACCAATTGCCACAATCGCAATTTATTTATCCACAAGCGTCCACACTTGCAACAACCACAACCTACGACCCATACGACTATCACCAGTCAGCTGCGCAGTCGCCGGTAACGCTCACACCCCCACCATCTCCACCGCAATATTCACAGTTGCCTCAATATTCGCAAACTGTGCAGTTGCCGTCGTATTCGCAGTCGCCAGCACAATTGCCGCAGCCGCAATTAGTGCAATCTTCACTGTCGTCATCGCTGCCGGCGTCGCAGTTGCCACCACAATACAGCCACAGCAGCAGTGCTGCAGAGCAACCACCAAATCTACAATTCTACAATTGCAACTGTCACGGTACCTATTTGCCATACGAACAGCTGTCGCCAAACTAAGCGCATAAGCAACGTCTTGCCAACACACACACATACATAAGATGTTGGATGATGATAATAATGATTTGCTGGCTGCAGCTTCCGAAATACAACGCAGTGAGTTTGCATTTGCCTTTTTTTACCACTTTAATACAAGTATTTCTGAAGATTAAATAAGCGTCTTTAAAAATGGTTTGGTGTTATACTGAAGCTTGTAAGGATATATCAAGCAAACCTTATACATAATCCTTGACAATACTAATTACAATTAGCTAAATAAAAATATATGCTATAGTGGTCCGGTCTCAACAATATCTCCTAAGGTTGTAGCGTTGCCTTGGATAAAATATATCGTTAAATGAAAAAGTTTCCATACAAGCATTTTATTCCTATCGTTCAATTTGTATGGCAGCTATATGCTATAGTGGTCCGATATCGGCCGTTTCGACAAAAGTGCAGCTTCTTGGTGAAAAAAGGACGGGTGCAAGATTTTAGGTCGATATCACAAAAACTGAGGGACTAGTTCGCATATATATAGACGGACGGATATGGCTAAATCCACTCAGATTGTCACGCTGATCATATATATATACACTCTATAGCGTCTCTTAGTACCCTTTGTAGGATATAACAATGTCGGTCTTTTTTAAACGAATAATATTTCATATAAAAAATTGTTAGCATATAGTGTTTTTTGTAAGAATATTTTCACTCATCGGCATTGGCATGTTTAGATATTGTTTGCGAACTCCAGTCTCTTTTTTCTATTCGTAATGGAACTCAGAGGCCGTTTTTTGCGACGTAGTTTTTCAATCCAAAAGTTCGCAATATCCTTTTCATTGTACTAATAGAAATATCCAAACCAAAACTTTCAATCAACTCTCTCGATGAGATTTCAGGGATTTCGACAAATTTTCTTCTTATGAGTCGCTCAGAGTATATCGAATTTTGAGCATTGGACCCCCACTGTACTGAGTCTTGCATGTTTTTCTTTTCTTGAAATTTTTAAAAAAATTTCTTGCTTCTCCGATCGAAATGGAATCCTTTTCAGATATTTTTTGATATGTTTCACCCTTCTTTCTATCTTCTACAATTAAGTTCCGAATTTCTTCAGATTTATAAATGCAAATTTATTAACGCTCGAGTAATATTCAGTTTTACCTTGAAAGAACTAAACAAAATCTAATTTTATACTTTCATTTGACGCGCGCGCATAAGCTCATCAGCAAAGACTTATCACTCTCTATTGAATAAATGCTAGCTGTAAATTTTGTTCGAAATGTTTATTGACTTAACGGTACATCTGCATGGCATGCTTTATAAATTTAATTATAAGCGAAAATGTAGGAAGTAAATTAATGCTGAAAAGTGGTCAGTAAGTAGTGTATATTCAACGTTATTACTTCCTCATCATTTTATAGATTTTATTTTTTTAAATGCATTTTCAAAAATTTGTTTTTATTTACTGTGCAGAACTCAAATTTTTATGGTTGTTACTTTTTTTGTAACTGTTTTTACATCCCTTCTTCCTTGCGTTGTGTAAATTATTGCTTAAATATCATATATTCATCTCGTTGCCAGTCGTCATGAAAAATTACGGCTGGTTGTACATGACGTATACGTAATTTGTTTTTAATTAACACTTGTAAGTCACAAGCCAACAACACATATTTGCAAACAAATATACAAAAGAAGTAAATAAATGTTTATTTATTACACAAACGACTGTGTGCAAGTGTAACTGCATTGAAATGAATAATAATGATTACGAAAATGTGGGAAATATACATATTGTAAAAAACTGTCGGAAATACTGGAGAAAGCAAAGTGGAGAAATTTGTCGTTGATTAAGAGCGAACTTATGGCAGTGGCGGCAATGTGGTTGCGAATTAACTAACGTTTAAAAAATGTTTATTTGTGTACAACAATGTTGAAGGTTTATATTTCACTTCTTTTATACTTTTCTACGACAGAAAAATTAATAATAATTTGTAATATTTTTCCAGTTGGAGTTAAACAAAGAATTTATGACTGCAAATTTTTTGTAAAATTTCACTTTCGCTAAGGGAACTTTAATGTTTTTACGATATTTGCTTTTGTTTTGTTAAGTAGAGAGGGCGTGTCCAAGGCAATATGATATTACATTTTCAAATTTTATGTTTAATTATTGCAAAATCAAATTCACTAGGTTGGATTAAGACTTTGAACTTGGAACTACAACGGAAGAAGCTTATTGTAATCAGGGGAAAGAAATCGTAATCGCATAACCTAAAAAATGCTATCTTTTATTGGATAGATTTTAATTGCTAAGATTCATATTTAGTTATTCTTAGATTAATTTAACCGAATTTCTTAAAAATATTGACTACAATGTACGTTAAACCTCTCTAAAGCATACCAAGTATTGAGAAGTTGAATATCATAGCCATATTCAATATATTAAATATAATTTCTTTTGCGTTCGTCGTCGGATATATACTACATATATCTTATATATGTATAATTGTTGCTTGCAGCTCTGCTGGATGATCGGCCACACTTCTGCAGTTTTTTGCGTACCCAAAAGTTTTAAACCAACGTAGAACTGCTAATTGTTTTTATTTTTTTAATATTCTTTCAGTTCAAACACTCACGAGCCATTGCCTGCCTAGCTCACCAGCCATCTAACTGAATTTAATTTGATATTAAATCTGAAACAATTAACAGTCTAAACTCTGAAACACGAGATATGTAATTACACATACATTTGTAGTGCATTTATTGATTGCGTGTCTCTACTCATAAATTTTCAAATTGAGCACTGATTTAATTGCCCAATCTGTATATTAAATTAAATAAGCGAAGCAAAAAAAAAACGTTAACTATAATACCCTTCACAAATACAAAAATTTCTTTACAAGAACTTGATTTTGACCAGTCAGTTTCGATGGCAGCCATATGCTATAGTGCTTCGATATGAACAATATGTTCGAAGATTGCACCGTTGAATTGAACAATAACCCATGCTGAGTTTCGTAAAGATAACTCGCTAAATAAAAAAGTTTACCATACAAGGACTTGATTTTGATCGGTCAGTTTCGATGGCAGCCATATGCTATAGTGGTCCGATATCGTCGTTTCCAACAAATGAGCAGCTTTTTGCGGAGCAAAGGACATTTGCAATATTTCAGATCGATATCTAAAAAAACTGAGAGACTAGTTCGCATATATACAGACAGACAGACTACCCAACTAAGCTCGTCACGCTGATCATATATTGTACATATTTTAGTGTATGCGATGTTTCGTTCTGGATGTTACAAACTTTGTGGCTAACTTAATACCATATACTCTGTTCAGGGTATAAAAATGTGTATGTCATAGAGTTTGCCACCAGTGCTACTGAAAATAGTTAAATAATATTGCCTCGTCACAATTGTTTGCATTTGAATTCATTTAATGAATTATTTAAGCACATTTCACGTGCCCTCTGCTTTTAATATACATAAATATATACAAATGGATCTACCTATACCTGCATACATAACCATTAGTTGACGAAACAAGTCTATAAATACATTTCATTACCAATACCTTTCATTCGAATCGCTTCGATTATGCTTTTTGCGCAGCAACAAACCAATACCGACACACCACTTCCCCGCATCGTAGTGTACCGCACCGTTAGCCAGTCAAGCGGCAGTTATTTCTCCAATCAGGCAGGCAGTTAGTTAGCCAGTTTGTCAACCCAAAAGTCAGCCATCATAAATTACTTCAACTTCATTTATTCTTTAGTTATAACTTGCCGCTTGTATGCCTCCGCGCCGCGTTTGTGTTGTTTTGTGTTGTATTTGCATTGAATTAACAGCCCTTTGTTTGTTTCACTTCCTACATTGCTTCGTGCACGCTACACGGCGTATGAGTAACCTACAGTATTTATTGCTATCGACAGCTCGACATAGTCTAGTTGGCCGGCATTAGAAATGAATGTAATGTGTTGTTTTCTATGCGGAATTCTTTTATTTATTTTACTCTGTTTATATTTTGCCATTGCCATTTCGCATTTATTTTTAAACAATTATTAGTGGCTTAGTCAAAGCTTTCTATTAATCTATTATTACCTTTTGAATTATTGTTATTTGTTTTTCATTAAAATTCTATATTGGCTGCCACAGGTGGTATCTTCGTGGTAGTTATATGTTAAAAAAAAGAAATTTGAAATGCTTTTTATTTTTTTTTTATATTTGTTTATTGCTTTTGTTGTAAAGTGTCATAGTTGAATATGTGTTCAGAATGCCTGTACCGAAGTATAAAAAATATTCTTCCGTTCATACATTGATTCGATGAATTAAAGAGAGTTTTCACCAAAGCGCATAATAAGTATATTAAAGTGTACGCAGTTGGTTAATATGATATTCATCAGTACTGCGTTCAAATTCTACCGGTAGATTTCTTTTTCGCAAGATTCAAATATTTTCCAGGAAGTATCATTTCTGCCATCAAATTACTTCTCATTAATTCGTACGGAAGTGGCTTGAAAAAAATTTTTTTTTGAGAATTTTTATTAAATAAAATTCATAAATAATAAATAAATAAAATGTACTTAAGAAAAAAAAAATGTATTAATAAATGTATTAACAGACTTTTATGTACTTTAATAATCGGCGATTCAGCTTTGAAAAATTTCAATATCCTTTCGACCAAAGCCGATCTCCAGAAGTACCTTCGAAAAAGTTGTCTGGCGGTGAGCAACATTTTTCTGCTTAAAATTATCTGAAATCTAAAAAGCAAAAAAAAAATTTTTCTATAAAAGAATACAGGTAAAGATGGAAGTAATAGTCAAAATTTTGATTTTTGTTAAAATGGCGGCTTTTCTACTTCAGAGTGGCTTGAAAAATCGAAATTATTGTTAAAATCTTCTTCCTTCCATCATAAGCTGACAAATATAATTAAAAAGATCGTTTATGGAAACAGAAATTTCAAGCCGATCGGTACAGCCGTTTCGAAGATATATTGCTCACCGCTTCTGGAAACAGCGTTTCGAGAAAACTTAAAAAATTCTTACAAATACGCTCATGTCGCCGAAATAATTTGCCAGATCAAATCATCAAATTTTCGGAGAATATTCTCAAATATAT